ATGTATGTATGTATATGTATATGTATATGTGTATATATATGTGTGTTTTTGTCTCTGTGTGATGTGTGAGGTCAGGTGTGAGTGTAGGTGCATATTTGTGCGTATGTAGACTGAACTTTTATATTAAGTGCACATTCTATCCATAGGTATACTATATATTTAGAAATATATAAATGTTTATAGTAAACAACTACAGAAGAAATACATACTGCTCTCGTGACGCATCCACACATACAATGTAACCTTTTCATCTACTTTTATGAATATCCCTTGTCTTTCCACCCATACCCTAATAGTCGCGAGTTCACCTACATATCAGGTTGCAACAGAATACATCCATATACCCCGCCATGTATGTATGCACACATACACAAGCGTACTGGGTCTTCAAGTCTCGATTATCTGGAAGTCAATCATGTACCTACTTCGAGCGCCCGCATCTTGTCTATACGCTAAGCAATAGTCTATGTCAGCCAGCACTATCTGCTTAGCCATGTCCCTAACCCGCTGTCTATTCGCCTCAGTCGCCTTGCCATTGTACACACGCGTGTCTATGAGATCCCCAAACTTAAAATAAAAGCGCTCGTTCGTGAACGGCTTGAACACGCCAATGCCCACGTGTGTCTGAGAGCGGGGGGTCATACCCGCTAGCCGCACAAGCCACTGTATGGGTAGATTAAAGAAGATGTGCACACACTCCTCAGCACCCACCCCGGCGACAGGGACGATGGTGTAGCCGTGTTCGATTGCCAGCGCCGCGAAGCCCTAGATGGATGTGAGCGTGCGTGCAGGGCAGGACAAACAATGGGAATGGACGCTGTAAGCCTAATGACTAAGCAACAACACACACAGGCATCACGTGTGTGCACTCTATGCCTAATGACTAAGCAACACCACACACAGGCATCACGTGTGTGCACTCTAAGCCTAATGACTAAGCAACAACACCCACATGCATCACGTGTGTGCACTCTAAACCTAATGACTAAGCAACAACACACACATGCATCATGTGTGTGCACTCGTATGCCGACGCTCTGTGTGTAGCATGCACGCAGACGTATACACATTGATGACGGGAGGGTGGGCTAAAGATGTGGGTGTTTTGGGTCTGAAGGTCACCAGTCCGACGAAGCACAATACATATATATAACCAAGGAAGGAAAAATGTGTGGATATCCGAGTAGATGTGTACACATATGCATACAACTATACAAGCAATGGGCTATACGTTTTAACGCATCAGATGTGATACCCGAGTAGATGTGTACACATATGCATACAACTATACAAGCGATGATCTATACGTTTTAGCGCATCAGATGTGATACCCGAGCTATACACTGAATTGCCTCGATTCCCACTTTACACTACGTTCAGGTTGCCTTCGGGTAACGCCATATGAACACGAATAGGACGTGAAGTATTTTCCGGGTGGATGATTTATAGTATAGCACCAGTGTATGCTTTAAAGTATAGTGTGGTAGAATCAAGTACATGCAGAAAGGCGCGGGTATGGACATGAGTGTCCCAATAGTTTAGAAGCTCACAGAGCGTTCACAAACGAAGATGATTTATATATTATGGCGTTGTATTGTGTACGTTTGACTGACAACATGTCCACGCACACCTCGCATGCCGTTATAACGCAAACGGTATGTACACAGAAACACATAGTTCATTGCAAATAACACTGAGACGCCGACATTGAATGGTGGGATTCAAACCGACTATATGACCACGTTAACGCAGAGATCATGAGCAATTAGAGAGTAGTACGTGTATCTACAGACGGTGAAACGTTCAGAGAATTAATGACTGAAAGTATACATAATATAACAATCAATACGCACTAATGATATGATCACCAGAAAGAAACAAGAAGTCTAGCTATCTATTAGCGTTTTCATGAGCTGCGAATCCGAAATCTACATACTAACATCCCTCGCTGAAAGCATTCGACACAAGTAAATTGTATCCGACAAGAGGTTTATATATATATATATATATATATATTTATATATATATATATATATATGTGTGTGTGTGTGTGTGTGTGTGTGTGTGTGAGTGTGAGTATAACTATATATATATATATATATATATATATATTTATATGTATATATGTATATAAATATATATATATATATATATATATATATATATATATATATATATATATATATATATATATATATATATTATATATATATATATATATATAATATAAATTTTATATTTATAAT